AACCTAAGAGCGATGGCCACCCTACGAGCGATGGCCTCCAACCTACTAGCTTCCAAGGTTTGTGATGCAAACTTACCCTAGGCAAAGAAGATCCGCGGCGAAAGGCAGGCTGTGGGGCCCTGCGGCGGTAGTGGGAGCCATACATAGCTGTGATGTAGCACACCCAGGCGGCAGGATGCTCCATGCTGTTGGTGTGGTTGGGCCAAATCATTGCTCTTGACTTGACAGTTGGCCATTCTTCGGCGAAGACGCGGATTGGACACACAGTTTCCTGCCGGGCATCGGTGGAATCAGTGCCGGGAACGTGTGATATAGAGTGGTTTCACAGTGCAGCGCTCCTCACATGTTGTCCCAGTATTCCTACCAGTAGGACCAGTTGAGGAACACCTGTTGCTTAAGGGTCATTGTGAGAGATGGTCGCTTGAGGATTTACAGACCTGCTGCTAGGCAAGAAAGCAGATTGAAACAGAAAGGAGTTGTTGTAAGTAGGACTTCAGAAAATTGTATAGCCCAAAAGTATAGATTGTACATAAATGCAGAAAACTGGACGAACTGCGCTGTATAGAGAAGAACGACAGTTCTTTTGTTTTCAGGTAAGAGCTCCGGGCAGACAAAAATAGTTTTGTATCGTGGAGTTTCGTTTTGCGGGAATTCTGGAAGTGATTTTCGTGCGGACTCACCAGCAAAACGCCGGCCAGGGCAAAACACGACTATTTAAATTGCACAGAAGGGGTGCATCAGATCAAGTATGAGTGTTATCATGTAGCCTGGCAACAACCAATGCCAGGTAATGTTACATGTCATGTGCTTTCCCCTTCCCCAGTACCCCCTTTACGCTTGTGTTGCACTTTGTCCTTGTGGCATGAAGGTGTGATCAGTTAGGGCCAATTGTTGTGTAAACAGAATAGATCATACCAGGCAACCACTGATCCGCCCTGCTGCTCCGCTGCCATCCTAGGCTGGAAAAGAATTTGGACAGCCTTACGGCAGATGCAGAACACTGAGGCATGCCCGAAAATGAGCGAAGGCGTAGTAGTACCTTCCCAGTGAGGAAGCTTGCCATGTTTGTGTATAGTATAGTTGAATGTGCCTTTCAGCGTTCAATGAATCGAGCAGTGAATTGTTCTGAGGGTCCTGCAACTCTGAGAATTCATGTTGCATGATATGTTTTTCCTGTTTTTGTTCATGTTCATGCAAAACAGTTCCCACCCGGTGACAATGGAAGCTTGATGTGAACGAGCTTGGCCCCATGGCTGATTCCCAGATCCTCGTTGCTCCTGACAGGCAAATTCCCTGGACATGTCGCAAAAAGTGCCAAGCACCTGAGCACCGATGCGTCGTTTGCGGAATGTTGGCTTCCATCCTAGTTGAATCGTCCTGCCTTGCTTGGCCAATAAGAGATAATAAGAGTAATTCATAGAACAAACCTTGAAAGGCTTTAGAAAGATCATGACAAATCCGACGCCTTGTTCTTTGTGTGTTGGTGCCAGAGCCAGTTTCAATCCCAGTCTTGCGTGGGGCAGTCGAAGACCGCAGGTGTCCGGAGTTTGCTTGACAAATACTGACGAATTGACAGGCACCTCTCCCGAACGGTCTTTCCATGGTTTGCCGCTTGGTTTCCTCAACTTGCGCGGTTCAATTTACAAAGGGGGGTGGAACATAGCACAAGCCTACAGCACCTAAAGCTTAGCTTGGCTGAAACATGGGGCTTAAGCTCAAATGGTTTTGACATGTTTTGAATGCTTTCTCCATGATCCCCGTGACAGTGGCTCAAGTTCTTTTCAACTACTCCAAGATGAGTCCATGCCATACAACTCACCACTGAGGAGAATGGAGTTGTTTGAAAGGCGAGATGTATACATGTTTGCAGTTGCATGGCGTTTTTTTGTTTGTATGTTTTTGTTTCTTGAGGTAGTGTAGTGCATCCCATGTTCCTCTACCATTACTGATGTTGGTAATACTGATACTGTAATTGTATAAGTTGACCATGCAGCTTCTCGAAGGGCGTTAGTGCCTTGAGAGATCTACAGAAGCTACAGCGGCTACAGACAAGAAATCGTACTGACAACATCACCTCCCAGTGCCGCCCAGCTGAACCCCCTCCGGTCGCCATGTCGGAGTGGATCCGGGGCTATGCTGGGACGGCGGGACCGGGGTGCCAACCGGTTTGCCATGCTTTGAATGCCAACAATCGCCCCCGTCCCTTGAGAAACTTTCTCCTAGCAAGCGGGTGCTGTACGCATTGGTCATGTATTGGTACATGTTGATCACGTTTGTTTTTTTTAAATAACGTATATATATATGTCTTTTACTCCCCAAGACCCCAGCCAATCCACCCAAAGCGTATGCTCTTGAACTATCCACAGCAGCGCGTTGCACTGACTGTCATTAAACAAGATCAACGCTTTCGTGAGACAGCCATCATGCTCCTTACTAGACATCAAGAGGCCCTATATGGGAGGTTGCACTTTTTCTCAGACATGTTCAACATATGCATTCTCAGCTGGTGTCCATTTGCGCATTTGCAGGTATATAATTGCTATCACTGTACATAATACAACAAAAGGAAGTGTCAGGTTTGTTTGTTTTTGCTGAACGATTCCGGACATTGCCAAACCCCTGCAGCGCTCGCGGCGCAACGCCCAGGGCTACCGGCTTCTTCCTCAAGATAGCACCACGGTGAACATCGATGAACCACCAAGGCCAAGGGACCAGAGCTATCCTTGCGTGTCACGAATCCTAAAGACACATTAACTGAGGTAAGCATCAGGTTGTTTTGGAGATTTGGAGATTCCTGGGATGTTCAACTGCCCATGCTGATGCTTTGTGGAAAAAAGCTAGGGGACCCACGTTGAATGGAACGTCCTCAGGGACGTCCGACCTTTTGTTCGGCTCACGGGGTGCCCAACTCCGGCCACGGCCTCAGGGTGGAGGAAGTGCCAAAGACTGATGAGAGGAGTGCCACCCGGGACGGCCACGGACAGGTGCTTTTTGGTCCGCTGGACCTGAGGAAGGGTTGCATAAGAGCAAAAGGAACCTAAGCGCGCCTCCAAGCTACTTGCAATATCTTGCAATGGCCTCCAAGCTACTTGTATTTATATGTATTTGTGGGGATTGTCAGTAAAGAACATGAACTTGCTTGATTTGCTGGGGAGGGAGTTCCACCAATTGACCGTGTCCTAAAAGCCATTGTTTGGCAACTTTAGAACGGAGATCCTTGAGAAAGATAAAGACGGTTGCAACTGAGGGTTCTGGGGGCTTTCACTGTCCCCAGTGGATCCAGCTACTTGATGTTTCTATGTTTTCCAGCTTTGTGAGATGGAGCAGACCAGCGGTCAACAGCTTTTTGATGATAAGAATGACGTAATTTGCAATCAAGTCATGGATTGGGTCTGTCCCATTACCTGTAACAGCCGGAAAACAATATTATACAGTAGACTATATAATATATATATACAATGATATATCACTATCACTATACAAGAGAGAGGCCTTTACTAGCCATGATCATCCATTGTTACTGGTAATGGGATATACTCTATACCCAATACACGGAGCATGTTTAGCCAAGTTTCTAGAATAGCACTGCAACTGGCTTGCCCTCACAGGACTTCCGACATCGAGATGGCTGGCATGACGACTGTCCCGGTGGGTGATCAAGATGCTCGGCCGAAACTACCACTTTCTACTAACCACATAAGCATTGCAGACAAAATGGGATATGTTTGTGATGTCAGGTGGGTGTTTTTTTTTTTTTTTTCTGAGCTATATATATTAATATGTTTGAGGATGTGTGAGGAATTGTTTTTGCCTCAGAAGATTGACTTTGTTTTCCTTCATTCCTTCAGAACACTAAAGGAGGTTTGCTGTTCTATACTATATTGTTCTATTGATTTCGATGTATGATCTTGAACAACTTTCACCACATTTCACCTAGTGTTTGCCTCGTTTGGACCTGCTGAGGACATCCTGCAATTCATGTCTCGCATCTTCTACTCAGAAGAGGGCAGCACCACGGCATCCGGTGTTGAAACACCGGGGAGTATTCGGGTGTACTCTTTTTGAAAAGTAAGTGGCCCTGGAATATTGAGTTGAGCCATCTACTGGGCCTTCCTGACAACCGGCGTTGCGCCATCTACTCCATCAGACCTTCCTAGGGATGTAGATGAACATTGTTCGTGTCAGATGATTTTCTGCCACGGATGCCGTGCCACCACTCGTCCACTCGTCCGCCCAGGAAATAGCCGGGTCAGCGTGAAGATCATCCGCATAGGCCAAACAGACTGTTGAACCATGTGGCTTCTATGGGACTATGGGTCCCAATGTCTGAATATATTGAATATATAGTCTTCTCATGTCATGTTATGTCCAAAAGGTCATTTGACAACAACTTGTTTCTCGAGTATAGGGTGTTTTGGCATAGGTATCCAAAAAAAAAAGAGCATCAAAAAAAAACAAAACAGGATCAAACAATTAAAATAAAAAGCGAATCAACAAAAAATATTCCTTGATAGGCCTCTTCTGCTGCTCTCCTGGCCTTGTGGTCTGCGGGTCCTCTGGTAATGTGGTCCCTTGGTCCTTTGGTCCCTTGGTCCACTGGTCCTTTGGTCCCCTGGTCCCTTGGTCCTTTAGTCCACTGGTCCCCTAGTCCTCCGGTCTCCTGGTCCTCTGGTCCTGTGGTCCGCTGGTCCCCTGGTATCCTAGTCCTTCTGTCTCCTGGTCCGCTGGTCTTTTGCTCTCCTACGGCGCTCGTCTGTCGATCTCCTGGTCCCCTGCTTGCGCAATTAGAGGCTTGATTGCTTTCTACTAGACGCAGCTCCCTGGGAAGAAAGTAGGTACCCAACGATAAGGTTGCCGTCCAGTCATTGAGTAGCCCTACTCGAAAAGTGGTTCACCAGTGGAAATAGCTCCCTACTAGGAGGGAGCTCCTGGGGAGGTACACTCTCCTCTACTACCCCAACCATCCTCAGTGGGCTAGAATGTTTTTTTGCTTACCTTCTTATTTGTTTATTGATCCCCGTTGAATATTTTTTGATTCTATTTTTATTTCTATTTTGATCCCTTACCCGGGTGTTTTCGCTTAGGCAGGCAGCGTGGAAACAAGTAACGACTACAGTAAGTCAAACATAAGGAGGATATTAAACATGTAAACAAAACATTGCGATGGATTCTTCAAGCAAGCTCCCGCCCTCAGGGTTGCTTGAATAACCTAAGCCCTAGTCCATGTACAGACCAGGTGTTCACATTTAGCTAGGGACCATACTTGCGCAAGACCAGGCCTTTTGACAATTGCAACACCTTGCGCCAGGTTCTCTTTCGGATGCTTGCTCTGTTTCTTGCCGCACGCAGGACTCTGCTTGCGTGACAATGAGCATCAGTGTCGTAAATTAATGCCAACTCCAGTGCCTGCAAGCCACAGCAATCTAGTCCGAGACGGTGACGTTAGTTTGACATGTTTATAGCACCGCACAGCTAGTCTGCAATGACTCAGTTTGTAACAAACCTCCGTGGGGTTTGCAAAGAGTTGGCCAGTCATTGTGTGAAACCCGGTTGAAATGCTGGCCTAACCTTTCTCAACATGCACCAGAAAAAAAGTATCGCATCATGTCATCATAAGCTTTTCCTGGTGTATTTTCTGCATATTTTTGGCATCGGAATGAAGCAGGCGCCCGGTTCAGAACAGACGAAGAGGCCAGAAAACAGAAGTGGCTCAAGGTCTGGCAACCACCCTGCCCAACGCTTAATCAGTACGTTGGGCCCATTTAAGAAGGCTCTCCAGCTCTCCACGTCCAGATGTTACAGTCAAAGCATGTCAAAGCTAGGTCTGCAGGTCAGTAGGTTGTTGATGGTTGTTGTTCTGAAATTTTGAGACGTGTGTCATGCACGTTTGTATCATACCCAGAGCCCGTGACCCAGAGCCCGTGTCAAAGAATTGCAGGGACAGGAGAGGCCCTCAACATGCCCCGAGGTCTTTGGGTCATGGTCTCAGATGCAGTTTTCACCAACAGCCTTTGCACCTCATCGCAACTCAGCAACACCGCACACACACCGACCCAAAGCAAACATTGAGACCTCACTTTGTGCCATGATCGATGATCGTGGCGCCATGGGATGCGTCTTCACCCGATGCACTGCTGCAAGTACTGCGAGGGGCAGAAGCAGCTCAGCGAAGCAAGTGACGGGTGTGCAAACGATTCCAAGAGAAGGAACGAAGCTGAAGAACAGTATGTTCGACGGCCAAGAAAAATCATGCGTTTTTCTGCACCGTTTGGTATTTGCAAAACCGGGTGTTCTCAGAACGACCATCGCAGTTCGACAACGAAGGGAGTTGGCTGTTGGTTTTGTGACTCGAGGAGTCATCCAACTGATCCGATCGGTCCATTCCGAATCCATTGTGTAGACTACCTATCAGGTGGGCCCTCCCGTTTCATGTTCACATATGTTCACATATGTTCACCATTCAATTACGCGAAGTGGGAACATTTAACTCATAGGGCAAGAAAACAGTCAAATAACATGCTTGGTTTAAAGTATTTTAAATCATGTACACATTGCATGTGTTTAATATACTCAAATTGTACATTGACATGGATTCAGCCAATTACTTAAACCAAAGATAATTCAGAACTTCAAGTTTAAATCCAAGTAGCTGAGCAATAGTTCTATTTTTTTTGCAAATTCAATAGCAATTTGTTTCTTCTCACTACCTATCAGCTAGATTCATCTAGTAAAGGTAATTTGATTATACATATGCTATTGGCATTTATTTCAACTATTTATATAGATGGTAGCTCATTGAGTTGCAAAGGACACCACTGGAAGAATGTTTTAACGTATTTTTTGTTCTTGTTCTTTTGTGGTATTTAACAACTGAGGGGCCGCCACAATAATATAGAATAACATATATAATAGCCAGCAACGAATCCACGACAAACCCATCCACGAGTGAGAAACTTCAAGCCGTGCGAATCCTCAGCTTCCGACCTGCGACTCGGACTTGGGTACGAGGTCACCCGGCATCAGAACAAGCTGATCCTCCGCAATGCCTTTGATTGGAGGCCGGAAACATCACAGGATCTTCATGGATCTTCCAACATCGTCTGGAAAGACAAACAAAGTAATGCAAGTATTAATTTATGTCCCATCAAAAATTGTCTCAAAAACAGCACCAGTATGAGGCCATCGTGGAGACCACCGCTCTTAGGTTGGAGGCCATCCCTATTGGGCTTGAGGCCATCGTTCTTAGGTTGGAGGCCATCGCTCTTTGGTTGGATGCCATCTCTTTTAGGTTGGAAGCCATCGCTCTTAGGTTGGAGGCCATCGCTAGTAGGTTTTAAGCAATCGCTCTGAGGCTGGAGGCCATCACTAGTAGGTTGCAGAAACGCAACTTCAGTGAACCCCACTTAACATTCAAAGGACTGGTGGTTTGCTCCACAGAGCTGTTGGTAGCACGTTTTGCGACAAATTGCGTTGCTGCAATATGTTTTAAGCTGTCATATATGTTTGGTTTTTATGTTTAATGTCGCCCAACACCTTGGGAGAGGAGGTCGTTGAACCTCTTGGAGAAGATAGATCCCTTCAAGAACCACCTATTTTTGCACCGTTTGAGTTTAAAGATGCGAAACCTGGCGAAACCTCCATTGACCGGTTCGCCCAGCCATATCCTCACCTGAAGGGCGTTTCTTTCAACTGTTTCCGAAAAACCACCGCCTCTCACCACGCGGTGCTCCGCATCCGGCGGAAGATCCGGGGGGTCGGCGACAGGCAACTCTTGGAACTGGCGGAGAAGCTCAACGAGGAGTCGCATGCGCTGAACGTTTGCACCATCCTCCACCGCCTCGCCAAAGGCCGGGAGATGGCACTGAGGTGGATGCTGGGAATTCTACAAGTACAATGTACTATAATCCATTGAAGATACAGTTATATCAGTTCAATCAAAGTAATTACTAGCTTCAATTGATGTTTAAAGGTCAATTTTGTCAACACACAAAGTGGAAGAGATGTTTCTTTGGCACCACCGATGGCATGTGCTTATTCCATGGCTGCCGAGCTTTCTGTCCTTTCAGACTACGGTAGAGCGCCGACCCCAACCCAAGGCAGCCAGGTAGAGCGGGACGTCCGGCAGAAGGATGATGTACTGAGCCAGTGTGGAAGAAAGCTTTATTCAAAAGTTTGAACGAAGGTAAGGGACCTTATTCAAGGATATTCAAGGGGCGTTGCCCTTTTTTGTTCCTCCCTCCCTCCCTCCCTCCCTCTCTCTCTCTCCTTTCCTGAGCGGAGAAAAGCGATGATGGCTTGTTTCATTTCGGAAATCGACAAATGATCAGAAAGGCTTCCTCCCAGCGGAGCATTGGTTCACCCAGTGGTCTCTTGGTTATCGCGCCAGGGGTGGCACGTGAGGGGCCTCGAGGTATGTCAGATCGTGCCCGGTCTTTGCGCGACTTGGTCGCGACATGATGGGGCGCGGTGGCTGGAGGTGGCTGGGCTGGGCTGAAGGCATTTTGTTGAGGTACCGTATGTTGAAGCATGTGTTTCTTTCCTGGGGAAAGTGATTGCGTGATTGCTTTACTGTATATATTATTGCATCTCCTTCCCGCTTTGTACTTTGACCTTTGTCTATGGGAGTATGTGTTGTCGGGGCATTGGAAACCTTGCATTTCTAGACAGTGACAAATGCTATCTCAAAGGCTGAGTCACATGTTTTTTTTCTGCATCGTCCCATCAAGTTGGAGCTGAAGACGTCACGTGCCCAGGCAGCACTTTTGCCTGGCAAAGACTCACTTTTTTGGTGGAGAAATTGGTGGCTGATCTGAGTCTCGTCTTCAAAAGGTCGGCCGAACGTTGGTGGCCTTGGTGGCCATGGTGAACTGGATGGTGGACACAGAGAGGGCAATGGAGAGATAGGCAGAGAGAGAGGGAGACATTGTCTATGTTCTGCAAAGAGTTTGAGTTTTTGAAGGATTCTTGTGTCAAGATATGGCCTGACATCCAGCAGCTTCAAGTAGTTTGCGACAAGTCTTGCAAGTAACCAAGGCTTGCACAGCAGCCCGAGCTCAGAGTGAGTTTAGCCAACTGCTATCATTCTACACCAAATGAATCATGTTGGCATGACGCCAGGAACAACATGGAATTGACAAATTGCCTTTGGGCTTTAGCAGTGCTGGAAGCCAATGGCCCTCAAGAAGAAGCTCTTTTGAATTCTTTGATCGCACCTGGGCTTTGGAACAGGACTTTTCTCGGGCCCAAGAAGCGCCAAGAAGCACCCACGTGCCTGGAAGGCCAACCTTCTGGTGCCTGGAGCAATTTCCCAAGGTCCTGGAATTCTGGTGCATCCCCCTCAATGTAGAAGATGTGGGCACGTGTGTTCTTTTCGACCTTACCGGAGGGAAATGCTGAATGCGCCAGTGCGATGATTTGGTCTAGAAAGTCGACTTCTGCACCCCCAGATCCTCAGGCTGCTTGCTCCCAGTATCTCTCCAGTTTCGAGCCACGGAACCTGGCACTCTCTGCCTGGGCTTTGGCCAAGATGGGCTTGGAGCCTTGGTGGATGTATTGGCCAAGGGTAGAACACCCTCGCAGCTTGGGATGGATTCGGGATGAGGGAGATTTGCTTCATTGCTTTGGCTTCAGGAGTTTCAGACAGTCGTAAGTTGATAGGCTCCCGTGAAGAGGATTATGATGTATTATGATTGCCGAGGGCCGGAAGGAGTCCAGCAGCAGTACAGTATAGGACTCACCAGAAGGTTTAGATACTCATGAGCGCGACAGGAGTTCTTTTTTTTGCTCAGTATCCTTGAAGCATCGGCTTCCGGCGGCGCCAGCCGACGTTTTCGACGAGCCTGCTTCTCTCGGCTCACCGGTGGGGCGTTTCTCCTCGCCTTTTCGAGGAGAAGCAATGGTGCCCACGATGGGCGGAGGCCGTGGCAGTGAAGCTCCAAAGCTTTGAGACTCGAGACATGACCAATGCCCCTGGGAGACCGACACGGCTTGCGCGAGACGGGAGAGCGAGCGGTCTGGAGCGAGTGATACTGTATGGGATATGATGTGAGATGTTCATGATGATCAGTCAGTCAGTTGGTTAGTCAGTCAGTTGGTTAGTTAGGTAGCATAAATATGTTTGTTTGTTTGATGGTCATGTTAAACATGATTGTTTGACAGTCATGTTTCCAAGGATTGTGTTGGCCTCGTATTTTTTGGAAAGACCAAGGGCTTTAACGGGCTTTATGTTGATATATGTTGATCATGGAAGGGCAAGTATTCTGTATCAGCCCACGCTTGGGGCTGAACAGGACAATTAAGTGTATACTTCTTGATGCCTTGAATAGGCATGCATCGTATTGCACTGTAAGGAAGGATGTAGAAAGCACAGCCACTGTCGAGCATACTTAGCCCTAGCTGTTTCTCATACACTGTAGGTTGAATCGAGTGTGCGACATTGTCAACCCTTCCAGCTGCCACTTCTTTGCTTGCTCTTTAGGTCATATGGGCATTTGCCACAGTATACTGGCGTGATGAACGATTCTTGATGCGCTTTTGCAAGGCAAGTCTGTGCGCTCTGCACTGTTTGTGCGCTATCCAGCACAGCACAGCAGCATAAATAGCAGCACAAACAGCACTGGTTCAGGGGTGTGCAAGCAAGACCTTTCGCAGATGAGTGGATATTCAATTGTGTACTAGACTATTTACAAATTTACGTGTCTATAATTATAATATATTTTTTATATAATCTACAAATTTTGACAACAAAGACAGTGCCCTCTTCCCTGTCGACCCACCTCAGATGAATATCTATGTTTTTCATGATTGCATTATATTGCATCAAGGTTTGATATATCCCAGATGTACCCTTCATGGCAGGGCTTGTCACATTCAGATCTTCTGTCGCACATCTCATACGCACCGCACGACTCTTCTGTGTGTGGATGCCCATTCTCCCGTACGCTTGGCCCGGCATAGGAGGTGGAAGTGAAAGCAGAGCACTACTCTCCCCAGGACGGCCCGATCGGACGACCTGACGACCCCGGAGGACCGACCCCGTTCGGGGAGGATCGGCGTCGTTGACAGCGGACTGAAGGGAGGTACCGAGCGTGGACCGAGCGTTTTTGGACTGAACATGTTCTGACAGAAGTCCCAAAAAGGTGGAGAAGACCCAAATCAAAGTTGCTGTACATTGGACTTGTCAGTCCTCGATTTCTGCAAAGCTACTCCACAAAGATGTTGGAGCACCTTGTGATGTGGGTCTATTGGACGAGGGACTATGTTCATGAGAGGAACTACTTGGAACATTGTCAAGTAGTTTGCACCACCTAATAGCAGTCCAACACACGCAAACTAGACTCTAGACAGCATAGAAAGAGAACGACTACACCAGCCTACACCCTATCATAGACCAGTCAGCACGGTGCAACCAAAAGGCTTCAGACCGGTCAGCACGGTGCTGGAGGATGTGGGCAACACCCTGTGGGCCTTAGCGACGCTCTCTTGGAAGAACGACCTGGCCTTAACAGCCATCTCCAAGCGATGCTTTGACACCGCAGTCCACTTTGATCAACAGAAGCTCCAAGCGAGAAGTCCAGCCAGTTGTTGTTGGTTTGTTTAACTGTATATGTAGAATGTATCAATATCATTTTTCAGTCCTAATTGTTTTATGTCCGCCTATATAATTAAGTAGGCGGCTACTTAAATTAAGTAAGGAGGTAAGCTACTAGCAATAAGTAGCAACTGCCTACTGGACGCAGCATAGCTCACACTTCTTCAAGGAAGCTCCCCTGCCTGAAGACGGGGAGAGCTTCCTTGAAGAAGCGCTCGCAGTATTCATTTGGTTCCTAGGTGTTCCTAGATACGTTGAAGATACAAGGTCCTAGCATAGGCCCACGCGGAGTTTTGAAGTCTGGAATGTGGATGCTTCCTGATATTGAACCTGGGAAGGACCAAAAACCCGACACTTGCCAACAGTTGCTCAGGATTTGTCATGTTCGCCAGTTCACGGCTGTAGAAAAAGACACACCCAGAGTAGTACCCAGAGTAAGTGCTTTCGAAAGAATCAACTCAAGTTATTGTTTAGTTCATCTCATCCGGCGTAATTTGTCCACAGCCAAGGAATCTCTCCATTTCACTCTGGAGCTATGCCACCCTTGGCTACAAGACAATGCCACTTGTACCTGTCATTGAAGCATTTTGAAGCTGCATTTTGGTGTACCATGGTGTACCTAGTTCTCATTTTTTTGGCTTTGTCAGGGGGTCGCAGTTTTTCATGAGATTCTAAGTGAGCAGCCCAAAGAGTCTTGATAGGTCCATCGAGTACGCCTCAGTTTGACAATTCTTCCATCCCTTGGCAGGAATCTGTTTCATCACATGACGCAAATCATCACCGAGCGCATCAAGAGCTTCGCTGCACAAGGTATTGCTAACGTGTGCTGGGCCCTTGCCAAATTCCAATTCCAACAGAATCCCGGCCGGAGTGAGCGGGATGTGCCATGAAATGGTTCTTTTATGTTTTTTTAGATCAAGTTGCGCCAGTATTGCTGATTTGTTGGTATTGAGCAGATGTTGGGTTGTTTGCTACTAGCACATTATTCATATACAGTTTTGGAAACTATGCGGCGGCACGAGTATGATGGGACATCAGCCCTGCAGATCCAGCGCTAATGTTCACCCCACAAGGTAGTCACTGAATGGTATGCAACAAACTGTGTCACATATTGGCAATATGTATGTGTTTGTTTTGGCAATTGTGAACGGGAAGTGTATATACTTGGGTCTTGGCAAATTGGACATGAACGCAGCATTTTGAATGAGGAAAGCAGCATGCAATGCAATAAAATTTGGACACATAACAGACCATAACAGGTGCAGAAGAACAATGATAGATTAATCGAACCAATCAAATTAGCCTTCCTTCGGAGGGCTTCATCATACTAGTATAATAGTATGTTTTGTGATGTTAGGTGTGAGATCATGGCGCTGATGAAACCGCTTGTACTCCTGGCTTGGTTCTTCAAAACTCTATGGTTTGTCGAATGTCCTGCCTGTTTGATGTGGCTGGACAGCAGGCTCAACTTGCATGATGATGAGTTGGAATGATGTTGCATCAAAAACTACATCCCCACCGTGGCTCAGGAAGTGCTTGCTGATGACGATTGCAGAAGAGGCTCCGACGCGGCTCGATGACTTTGACCCGCAGCACATGTCGATTCTGGCATGGGCATATGCCACCCTTGAGACGCTCGCACCGATGTAGGAACGAGGGACGGACCGTTGAGTGAACTGCAGTACTTCAAAAGCAAAACAGGCAAAGTCTTCATTCCCGAAAGGAGGGGTATACAGTGTTTGAATAGTGTTGACAGTCGTTGGGATATGTTTGCCGCTCGTCTTAGATGTTGGAAGCAAACCAAGCCACCTCAAGCTTGTTTGCTTCTGTCCGTGGCATTCGCGTCATGGCTGTGGCATTCGCGTCATGTGTGAACATGCCGGTTTTGGGACGTTGAGGTCGCCTTTTGGGCGAACGTTCCCCGTTCCGGCGGACCCGCAGAGGTCGTTTTAGCTTTGGAGACTGAGGGGGAGGAATCAGAGAGAGAGAGAGAGCGCGAGCCTAATAGCGATGGCCTCCAACATCCTCCAACCTAATAGAGAATATAGACAGAGAGAGAGAGAGAAAGAAAGAGAGATATTTAAAGAAGGAACACAACACAAATTGGAGAGGTTTTTGCCCCCCTTGGGGACCTGCCACGCTGAGGTTCCCAAACAGACCGTTGCTGACCGCATTGTGCCAGGCTGCCGTACGGAAGATGCCAGGTGTTTTTTTGCTTCAACAGGCTTTGATTATTTCTATCAACATCTTCTTTCCTTTTGGATGAAGGTCATTAGATCATCATATTAAGAACAATTGAGGTGTCATCATTGTGTTGTTGATTTAGTGATTGAATTATTTGTCCGTGACTCCCAAGTTCAGTACCATATCATACCATAAATAGTTTTAAAAACAAACTTCAAATACATCATAAAGCACGGCCTCCCCATCATCCCGATGCAGGCCTTTTGAGGGTTTCTAAAGTTTCTAAAGGTTTGGGGGGGGGTTCATTGGACCGCAACCTTCTGAAGCAGATAAGAACCAGCGAACCAGCCCAACCTGAGGCCCATGTTCAATGCACAGCACATGGCAAACATGACCTGGGCCATGGCCACCCTTGCCCACAAGGCAGGGTCCGGGTGAAATTGGGACACGAACAGTCCAGGTCACGAATCGCAACACCCAGAGCTGGAGCTAGTTTCTTCTTATCTTGGAGTTGCCCAAGTCATTAACATGTGGATCCTTGGAGCATGGCGCCAAACTGGTACCAGGATGAGCGGTACTTGCACGTTCTGGCGGAAAGGGCAATGGAAGAGGCATGGGGCCTGTGGGGCGTTCGTTGCGCAAGACAAGTCCTAAAACATCCTGAATCCCTGAGATGTCCACCCATACGGCATACATTCTGGAACCTTTACGCCAAGTTAGCTAAGTTGTGAGAATGTATGTAATTATTGACTCTTTTGCTGGAAGACTTTGCCTGCATGTGTGGGATTTTGATGGATTTTGTGTAAAACAGCAATGAAACGTGAAGAGGTGTGAGTTCTGAGTTGGCTGTTGAGGTGGCACGCTTCAATCCTCAAGAGTGCTCCAACTTGGTTTGGGCCTTCGCTTTGCTGACCTTCCGCGACGACGCCTTGCTTCAGGCGGCCGGTCGGCCGATCGTAGCAAATGTCTAGTCCATACTCACCGGTATGAAGCAGCTGTTCGGTCTGGCAAATCTAAGATGATCTACACTCTGACTCGCTAGCATGGAAGTGGAAAACCACTCGTTTATAGAGGAAAGTAGTCTTCCAAGGGACATCCACGTAACCATGTGATGTGTTCGTCCGAGTGTAGCGATTTGACAGACCGAAGGAGCGGCCAGGTCGAGCAGGATCAAGTCCGAGAGGCTCAGACTGTTGGCACACCAACACTCTCAAGAGACCTTACAGGGGTCAAATGCGAATCTTTGAGATCAGCGGGACGTTTTGCTCCAATCCTTTTGTCAAGAAGCTATTTTTTTTTGCAAGGGATCCCAGTGTCCTGGATTCTTGAGAAATCCTAGTTTAAGACTATAAGTCGCTAGTCAGATCTTGCCAGTATATATACTGAGATTGTTGCATGCAAATATACTGACAACACTTCTAAACAGTATAAACACTGACAACACTTCTGACAACACTTCTATACATACTGAGATTGTTCCATGTATACAAATATACGATCATGGACCATAGACACTGACAACGTGGGAGAGACCCTCTTGGGATCCAAACACCTCTTCTTTTCCGTCGCCGCACGAGGCCCTGAGCCGTCGCTCACAGGAGATCGTGGCGGCTCCTCGGTGGAGTGCCGAACGGCGGGCTTCGCAAATCCCACCGGTGCCGGTGGCGTTTGGTTGCGACGCCACCAACGCCGTATGAGCTGGGGAGCTTTAAGACGATATATATATATATTAGATCTAATTAGTTATACAATGTCACGCATATATAATTTGATGATAATTGATGCACGACCAAGACAACGACCTGTAGCACCAGTGAAGGGTCACTCGATAAAAGGGTGGTTCTGGAAATGCTCCCCAGCTGAGAGTGACCGTCCAGATCTCGGTCATTTTTATTTCTCCAAATGTGTCCGCAGGTCAATTTCTTTTGTGGGAAGAAGCTACTAGGGGCTCCTGGCATCGCTACTAGGAGCATTCTTACTTACAAGAAGCTAGACTGGATGTCACGCCAGGTACTTCTCTCTGAATCAAGTGACGTCCATCTTCGCTCTAAGGACTTCATCCCGCAGAACTTGGGCAACACCGCGTGGGCCTACAATCGTTTGGGCTATCGTGACGAGCAGCTCATGCAGTGCCCCTTGGGATAGGTGAGAGACGGCATTGCGGCAATTTGGATTTCTTTGTTTGTCAGGGTGGATTGTTGTTCGGCGCTTGGAATGCCGCGGTTTCCCAGTTGTTTTTGTTTGGTTTTGGCTTCAAGTCTGCAACTTGATGTTTGCAGCCCCAACTGGTTGGGTTACGGATCGCCCAGTTCCATGGGTTCTACGGTTTAGACCACACTGAAGCCATCGGCTTTGTTGCTAGGTTCGCTCGAGGGGGATTGAGCCATGAGCATTGTTCTGTCACTGGCCTTGATGCTCAGGGGATTCTTTTGCCCATTGCTCATCGCTTGAGGCTGTGGTTCACAACATTAGTCATCATTCCACAAAAAATGCACATACAGGCATACAGTGGCATACAGGTCTTTGGCAGCTTTGTTCCTGATGTGCTTTTGCCATACGAAAAGTCGTCCGCTGTTTGAGGCCTGGTGCGGGAGGCAGCAGGCCGCTTGCAGGATTGTGCGGGGCAGGAGGTCTTAGACCTCATCGAGTCCATCGTTACAGGTGACCTGGCAGAACTGTGGTGAAGGGTTTCCTGTTTTGGCTGGTTCAGCCTCTCAATAATATAGACAATCAGGACATATCAGGACAATGTTTTGCGTGTTCTCTATATATATATATACTCCAAGTAATGTTTGGGATTCAACTTCAAGAAGTCTTCTTGGGTGGAGGACTGGGGTCTGGAGCGAGCGGCGGCACTCCGTCAAGAGTCAAGCTATTGCAACAATTCTTGAGCCTTACCCAGAGGAAAACGGAAGAGTAACCCAGAAACCTTCATAGAACTTTGTGGAAGGTCTTTTTGGTGCACTAAGTTCGTACAAGCAAATTTTACTGACCCCCTTTCTCCACACCCCCCATTTAACCTTATATGAAACCTGGTCAGTGTAAGATTGACATGTGACCTTACATATTTTACATTGCAAGAGGATTTCCTGGCTCGATAGGCGAAAGGTGGTCGTTTCAATCGTCCGCGGGGTCGAACATTCCTTGCATCGTCAGACTCTGTTGTTGCTGGATTGGGGAAACCATTTGATGGAGTGATCCGGTGTACCTTTCATCAATGCTTGTAGTAGTAGATGGCACAAATGTCTGAGAGGTGGTTATGATGGTGCTCCATTTATTTAAGGGACATCTTCGGGATTGATTGTTTGTTTTACAGTATTATAATGTAACTGCACAAGACCATTGTGTGCAATAGTGATGTGAAAGGTACCACAAGGGATGTGATTGTTGGCACCCCCACCCACCCACCCACCCACCGGACACCTCAGAGCGTGTGACCATTAACAGTATATAGAGCACCATTAAGATGAGCACGGCATGTGTGCTGCGCAAGACCACTGTGTGTTTGAGTGGTGTGAAAGGTAGCAAGAAGCACGTGATTTCATAAAGTCTAGGTTCCTGCTGAATCAAAAGGCGGCATGCCACAGATGACCCCTCTGCGGGGTGGCGAAGATGACTCTTCTATGCGTGACGGAGCTGATCCCCAATCCCTCGATAGGTCCCAATAGGTTGGATACCTACAAGCATAGTGGTGTGTAGATAGTAGGATGCATGTAGTCAAGTCTTTAAACATGTTTGCAGTGATTCATTTGTAACGTATCAGGTGGATATGAGGCCTCTGTGGAAGGCCCCGAGTGGCAGCGGCTGGCCTGCTGGGCTGGACAGAAGGTGGAGGCAGGGGAAGGGATAGAGGCGAAAGACTTGGGGGGGGAAAGGTGGCCCAACACTGGCAGGAGAGAGTGCCATCCTTCACATTGGACATGGTTCTTTCCGATTAGCTTCCTCAAAGACCTCAAATCATTGTCAAAGCACATGGCTCAGCATGTGCACAACACACTATTCCGTCGGTTTTCTATTGTTTTCCTGCTTTGCCAAAGTCAGTCCAAAGCCACAAGCTAGCGTACGTCAATAAGGGCCCATGTTGACTGGTTGTCATTTCTACTTCCGCATGCGCCCAATCGCGCGCAAGTGTGCAACGTAGTGTATTCAATCCTCAATTCTTGTGTGGCAATATGCTGGTACGAATTCCTGCTCGCATTTCCCGTTCACCCCTTTATAGGTCTATAACTTCCACTCTCCCGACTCTCAGGCGGTGGCGCGCTGCGTGGTCAGCTCCAGCGAGATGCCGCTGACGCTCCGGAAGCTCCCAGACTTCGATCGGGCGCTCGCCGTGCAGGAGCGGAAGGCGGTCGCGCCGGGCGGATCGAACCCGCGGTGGCGCGATCATGGCGCCTGGCGTGCGGGAAAGGAGGAGGCCAAATGCCCCAAGAAGACGAACGCAGAACATGAAATGTACTTTAAAATAGGAAGAAACATGAAGAAACTGGGTAGCTGCTCAAAAAGGAAAGGAAAGAAAGGACGGCTCGGTGAAAAGTTAGTTGCATGTTTCTCGCCCGACAGGATCGGGGGTGGCTAGAGTTAGAGTGGTGACTAGATTTTAGAATGAATCAGCCACCCTATCGTGACCTTTCCTGCAGCGCATCACCCAGCGAAATGACAAACACAACAGTGCTCGGATCGCGCTTTCGGCTCCCTTGTCTTGCCTCCTTGGACGATTCCGCAGGACTACCAGGATCACTTGGCCAGCTTTAGCTTGGTCGGCCTGGGGTTCACCTATACGTACCTGGGCTTCTTGTTCAGTTGGTTGTTTTGTATGGCTCCACGTTTTGTGTCAGAGACGTGTGATGGCTTGTTCATCGCCTAAGATCCGAGCAGCCTTTGAACCTGTTTGTTGAGGTGCCAAATCTTGGAGCAGCTGGGCATTCGCCTCCTCAACGGCTCAGAGAAGGAGGCCTGGCAGAAGGTCGCCCAGGAAGCCTCGAACTCGATCAGCGGCACGGGCAATCAGCACCCTGGCTGGATTGTTGCCATCTAACCTGCCTCTTAGTGCACAATTGTGAAAAAGCTAGGAGATCGTTGAACGCCAGATATTTCTGTATTGGATGGCATTGAGTTTTCACCGCTGTTTTTTTTGACTGCTCCACTTGGAAGGTCTGACGTCAGCAAAAATGTGGAGGCACAAGAAGGACTGAAGGCTGGAGACGAACGTTTGCGGACAGATGCCACTGCCGATCAAGCTTCATCGTTGACTCTGATTTTGGGGCGTTTGGGGCATGGGTGTATATGTCAAGCTAGACGGGCCGTCGAAGGCAAGAACATGATAGCCTGTCGAGACAGTTGCAGCAGTTCACTCACACAACCGTTTCTCCGGTCCATCGCCGGGATTTCCCGGTCACCCGGAGATGTCACAGTGTCAATGACAAAGTTCCGGAAAGGATTACATGCCACTTTAGCCTCCCAAAAGGAATGCCAAATCTACTAGTTTTGGGGACATCCCTGGCCTATGCAAACCTCAATGAAGAATGAGGCTCCAAAAAAAGTGCATGTGTGTGTGTAAAATGTGTGTGTGTGTATTTGTGAGACATCACATTTGATCCCTCCCCACTTCGCCAGATTTGCCGCACGATTTGCGTCTACCGCTATGCCTTGCAGCTTGGACCGGAGACGGTGTGCGTGGGGCCCACGGCGGTGACCAGTGGTCCGGCGCGAGACGCCCACGAGCTGGGGCTTTTCGCAGCCACTTTGAGGCATCCGAGGCAGATCTGAGGGCGGAGGGATCTGAGAGGGGAACTGGCCTAGTATTGAATCTGGTGCGTCGGTCTTATGTTCCGAGCATCGTCCGTTTATAGTGCTTGTGATGCGTGGATCAAGAGCATTGGTCAACAACATCTCATTGTCGGCCAGCTTTGCAGGGGTGGGGACGGCGAGTTCCAAGCGCTCCAAGCATGTGCCCGAGCCTCCATGCAGCTGGGTTGTGAACCCACCGGCCTCTTGGCAAAGGGAGTTGAGATGGAGGCACTGCTGAAATCTACTCGCTACTTTGATGGGCTGTGTGTTTAGTAACTGGTTAACTTAGTTAACATAGTTACTTAATCATTTAATAAGCAATTAACAAAATTAGCTAAATGATTAGCTAAATGGTTAACTAAATGATTAACTAAATGATTAGCTAAATAGTTAACTAAATAAAACAGCGATTTTCTGGTCATAAAATCACAATAATCTGGCAAGTGAAACTGCAAACGCACTACAGGTGAAACACTGCATTGCACATGATTTCCTTGCCATATAGCAAGTGCCAGCATGCAACAACAAAACAATAGTGAAGCCATGAACAGGCTTGCATTGTTTCCATGAATTGGCAATGCTGATTGCATGAAAGGCCTGTGATGGCTGCATGAAAAAGCTTGTATATAATGGCTTGCATTGCGACCATGAGTTGGCAATGCTGATTGCATGAAAGGCCTGTAATGGCTGCGTGAAAACCTTGTAATGGCTGCATGGAAAGGTTGGGCTGGTCGCATGCATTGCAAGCATAGCTTGTAATGGTTGAAGGTTCCATGAATTGGCAATGCTGATTGCATGAAAAGCTTGTAGTGGCTGCATGAAAAGCCTGCAATGGTTGCAAGAAAGGCCTGTATTGGCTGCATGGAAAAGCTGGGCTGTTTGCATGACTTGCAGGACTGGGGTAGAGTCTGCACAACGCCAATATTGCTAATGGAAAACACAGCAAGTCTAAAGCATGCCTTTTTATCTCTATGGTAATGGAATCAGGGTGGTGGTCTTTGCGCCATTTTGAGCATAGAGGCAAGGTGTTAAAACCTTGCACAAGGAAATTGCAGCAGATTGGCCAGCAAAGCTTTGCCATACAGCGTACTCATTCCTTGCACCAATTTCCAAACATTCAAACAAAGATACCAAACACATGGGCTGCCCAGCATCTAAATGCAATTGAAGTTTTCCGCAGCCCACTTCCTGGTGCCATGTGCAATGTCCAGCAATACAACATCACCTTTGGAGCAAGTCACACCATGCTTCAGCCAGGCTACTTGGCTTGTAGTGACCAAACCAACATTGACAAGTGGCCATAAATGCTGCACTGTGCCAACCAGCTTGGAAGGCAGCTTGTGGGGCTTCTTGAGCTGGTACTCCAAGGCAGAAAAGGGGGTATCAAGGCTCAAGACATTGAGTTCTTTTGCAGTAACCTCTTCCATCACACTTTGTTCCAGCTGCCTTGTGTTGGCAATGGCGTTGCCAATTCTGGAAATGAACCGATGCTTCCTTTCCATAGCCCAGCATGCCACCATGATATTGTGATTCCTGAAAGCTTGGCCCAAATGCAAGAGCCAATGATGCTTTTGATAACTTTCCAGCCAATTTGTGTCCACAAAGCCAATGCCCTCTCTGCAGCATCTTGGATGGCTTCAGCAGTGATGGGCAAAGACCAAGTGGATTGCAGCAAATCCACCAAATGAGCCAGTATTTGGATACAATGGGCTTCCTGGACCATGCAGTCAATGCAAACCTTCTTCAAGAAGTGCACCAACATTGGAAGGACTGTGAGTAGCTCACTTGCAGTGCAACTGAATTTTTCAGCCTGCTTGTGTTTTTGCACTCTGCTCTCTGAAAACAAAGTTGTCACCTTGATGCCTGCATGCTGCCAATGGGATGGAATTGTCCACTGGCCAACATATTCACCAAATTGTTTCCAACATTGCATGCCTTCCAGCATATTGAAGACACCCAAAGAAAGAATCCCAATGCTCATCAAGCAGTGCATCCAGTCATGCTTGTATGGCTTACAAGGGTCCAGGTTTGGTCTCAAGGAGGTGTCTGCCAGCACTGCCTCCTCATTGTAAGTGATGCCAGTTGCCTGCTCCCACATTTTGAATTCTGCTTGTGAGCAATTTGACCTTCTCTTTGTCATCCTATCCCAAGAAGAAAAAACTTCTTGGGATTCTGTGAGCTCAAGCTGGCTGAATTTTGTGTATTTGCTCACTTCATTGACACCTTCTTCATCTTGCTCATGAGAAAAGACATTGGCACAGGCTACAAAATCGACTTCCAGCATCACCCTTTAAAGACCAGCAGTGCTTGTGGGCTGCTCCATCCTGCACTATGAACTGCAAGGTCATTTGTATATGCTTTCTTGCATGTTCAGCAGGGCACCCAGCAGGTCCTTGAAGCAGCAGACCTAAATCAACTGCATCCACCTTATCCCACTGGCAAAATCATGTTCAAAATGCTTTTGAGAATCTGTGACATTGCCAACACTGCTTATTTTTCCCACACTTCACTTGATCCAGCCACAGCGCTGCAAAAGAAGTCAATAAGGCCTGTATTGACAAAACAATGGCCTGTATTGGCAAACAAAACTTGTATAGGCCTGTATTGGCGAATCCGTAAATATGTAAATAGAATAAAGTACAAGTATGAAAAAAAATATGTTTTAAACAACTAATTATACTATAGTAAAAAGCTTTTTCATTCATAAAATATAAAGGAAACCAAAATAACGATTAGGTTTTTGATACCAAAACTAAGTTTCTATTGGATAAATCTTACCTTTAAATACTTAAATCAAATTTAAACATACAAGATTTGCTTTTAGAAACAAAAATATATTTGAATAATAACGCAAGATTTGATTTTAGTAGCGACAAAGCAATTCCTAAAAATCCAGGATTTGCTTTTAGAGGCTAAAAGCAAATCCTAA